CATCGCAAAGCATACAACAAATAGAAATACAAAATTTTAGTTGTTAAACCTAAAATAAAACAAACTTTTTGTGGTTAATTGAAAAAAAAAACATTTTGGTAGTTACACCAAAAAAAAAATTATACTATAGTGATTCTTATAAAAAGTTTATTTATTTCTTTTACTTTGATTCTTTTTGCTTAGCAACCAATTCAAAGATTACTTTAACAGTTTTATTTTGTCATATCTAAAAGATCAAATTTCAAAACTAAACATAAGTTATCCTAAATTTTAAACTTAAATATACTTAAAATCATTTAACGTAGATATGTGTTTTTTTAACCAATTTGTGTATTGTAAAGACATTTTATAAATCAAGTTTGACAATTAAAAAAAAAATAGACGGTATATATTATTTTTATGTGATTGACGGCTTATTTAAAATAAACGTAAAAATATAACAAAGGAATAAACTTTTGAACTATTTTTTTGGGTTTATCATTTGTTTTGTAGCCTAATTGAATCGTCATCAAAACTTCATAGAAAATGTGATTATTTAAACATTATAATATTTATTTACTTCAAAAGACACATTTCGTTATATATATTTAGTCAAATTAAGTTAAAAATGTATAATAAGTTTAAATATAAAAAAAAGGGTTTAAATATAAAAATGTATAAAAAGTTAAACAACACCGTGTTTGTCGATGGAGGCGTTGAAACTGTATCTGTGAATATCGAATCTTGACCTAAGCAGAATGTAAGACGTGCTTTGGATCGTATCGTGTACAATTGAACATCGAAGGAACATTGAAGGCTTCGTTAAACAATGACAGTCGAAGAAAATCACAGATGATACAGTCAAAGTTTATTGGTGCTGAGATGGAAATTACTATGTTCGACAATGGATTTCAGATGGGCAGACGTAGTGGAACATGAATAATTAAGGTTTGTTCTAGAAAAAAAAGTTAGACAGCCGGATGTGGGCAACGCGGAAGGCGCGTTATCTTACGTGGCAAGCGCCTTTAACGGCGCCATAACGGGGAACACCGCCCCAGGTGCCCGTTAAAGCGCGTTACGCCATAAGGCGTTATCGTGGTAACGAGTCGTAACGCCAAAAAATGTGACCGTTGTGCAATTTGTTCCGTTGAAAAATGGTAATATTACCGTTAATCGGTGAAATGGAAAAAAAAAATTACTGCTTAATTTAGTTTAACTATATCAATACATATATCTCATTTTATTACACTTCTATTCCTCTAGATCTATCTCTATTTCTCTATATCTATCTCTATTTCATTCAAAACAAAAAAAACCACTATGGATCAAAACCTGAATACCCCTCCTTCGAAGACAAACACATCCACTCCATTAGGTTTTACGGGATATGAGGGATACATGAACCTTCTAAACTCCCAAAACTCACCACAAATTCCATATTCCGACAATTTTTTCAATCCCACCTCACCCCCACTACAATTCTCTACCTCACCATTTATGCAACAAAATGCAAACATTCAACAAAACTTTTTTAACACATTCGGTCTCATGCGCCAAACAGTCACACAACCCACACTCACGCAAGAACCCGTTGTCGAGACGCAAGCCGGGGTAGTCAGAAAGCATCGGGAAAAAAAAGGGAGACCAAAAAGAAAGGGAAAGAGGTCGCTGTCGGGACGGACGAAACGGAAGCACCTCCAACATGGTGGACACCGGAGGAAGAGCATGCGTTAGCGGTGGCTTGGTGCGGTACTTCAAAACAACCAACTATGGGGAACGATAGGAAGAGAGTTGCTTTTTGGGATGCCGTAATCGTCAAATTCCGCACAATTTTGAACAAGGGTGACACATATCGCAATAATGATATGCTTAGTGGCAAATGGACTCAAATTAGCCGGAAGTGCACCAAATTCAATTCCATAGACAACAAACTTTCTTCGCAACGTCAAAGTAGTGCCAATGATTTCGATGTGTTTAGAGTCGCGAGGGAGGAATATCACTTGCAAATGGGGCACGTATTTTAGTATGAAAAAGTATGGGACATAGTGAGGAAAGATCCAAAATGGATGAAAACGCCAACATCATCGGAACAACAATCAAAGAGGTCTTGTGGTTCGGGTTCGGTTGACGTTTCCGACGGACACACGAACATTGACCTCAACACGGACACCGATGAGATCCCGGACGAGTTTGATGACATCAAGGAAATCTCTCCGCCACGACGACCGATGGGGCGCGACAAAGCCAAGCGCGCGCAACGACATGTGCAGGAGAATGAAAGTCAGCTTCGAGAGCACGAGGACATGAAAAAAAAAATCAACGCCCACACGGAAATCGCAAATAAAAGATATGAATTGCAACGGGAGCATTTGGATTTCCTTCGTCAAGAAGCCGAACAAGATTGCATATCGAAGGATTTGACAATTCTTACGACAAACGAAGAAAATTTGCCACCAAGATGAGCTGAAGTGATACGGAGGATGAAGACAAAGATCGAGAGCAAATACTTGGACGAAGAATAGTTTGTCGGTGTTTTTTTTTTTTTTTTTTTAAATTATTAGGACTATCGTGTTTTTTTTTGTTTGTATGGTATTTTTAGTTTACTATTTAATGAAATTATGTTTTATTAATTTATATGTTTTTATAGATATATGACATAAATAAAAAAAATAAAACGAATTAGAAATATATGAAGTAAATAAAAAAATAAAACAAATTAGAATAATAGAAATTAAAAACATTAAAAAAATAAAAAAAGAAATAGAAAATAGAATGTGTTATCTCATGTTATTTAGTGTTGCCCATTTCCACCTTTGGTGTTATAACACCAAATTGTGACTAGGATGATGAGGTGGACAATTTGGGTGTGATAACATGTAATAACATGTTGCCCACACCTAGTAGTCTTATAAATTAATGAAAATTTCAATTTAGGTTCAGATTTTTTTTTATTAATTGGAGAACATTTCTCCAGATTTTGTGCTTAATCTTTGGTGAGTTTAGGTATATGTGTTTGACTTACCTTTTATTCATTATAAAACGTTTGTGGATATGTTAAGCAACATTGTCTCAAACAAATTAAATAATTTTGTTTTTATTCAATTGTAATGGTTTTATTATTTTCTATCTCATCGAGCCTCTAATTTTATAGTAGAAACATCTTTTGACTCACATAGCTTCCAATCATTCGGTTAGTGTATTAAATTTTACCCATTTACTCTTATATTGACAATGTTTTACCACAACTCCACTATCTATGTTTGTTTTTTGAATAATTGCTATGTTGCTTACAACGAATGGAGGGGACTTTTTTGGATGGACTTCAGATTTTAGCTCATTGTTTGCAAGACACTAGAAAGAGCAAGAGTCTTCATCAATAAGAACGGTAATTTCAAAATTCTTGCTATTGTGTGACTGGGGACTTTTCTATAAGTTGTTAACATAGAACTCCTTATGATGTAGTAATCCATTCTTGTATCTTAGGTTAAGGTTGGTTAATTGGACCAAAACCTTCCCAGATGGGGTTCTATTTTAGAGGTCTAATTCGTAAATGGGGTTCTATTTCAGAGCAATGAGTTAAGTTTTCTTGAAGTGTACACTTTGCTTTGAGCATTATGGTTTCTTTGATGTTTTGAAATGAATGAACAGGTCAGATGAGTGATGAACTTGAACAAAAGATAGGAACGATAGAAAGTTGACTAAAAGGTTTGGGTTGATGCTGGAATCTCTTTAGACAGATGTAATGCATGTCAATAAAGGATCAAAAAAATTTACCATGGATAGTTTGTAGATCTATCTCATAAAAAATGTCATGTTTGAAAAAATGTATATTTAAATATCTTGTACTGCCATCATAACTAATATTTTGACATATGTCGGATTATTTTTATTTACATTTATTGGAAACCATACGCTAGAAATTGATTGCACATGACAACTCCTTGCAGACAATCGACAACTCCCTATAGATGATTGTGAACTCGCTGCAGATAATTGTGAATATACCTTATATTCTCATTGGTTTAGTATCTTGAGTCATATTTTATAACTGAATTGAATGACTATAACCAGAGCAAAGGACAAGAAGATTCAAAATCTAGCCTCCCTGAATGTAATATTATTTTTGTCAAGTGTTATACGGACAAATTGTATGTATGAAAAAAATTTGATTTGGTTGATACTTTTTACTGAATAAGTGGGTTGAGACATATCAATTATCATATACACATACCATGTAATCAGAAGCATCATTAAACCACTATGAGTGGAGGTGTTGTGCTATTTTTTGACAAAATAAAGATGCTTACTTTTTTCCCCTTGAGGGTCTCATCTTTGGAGTTTGAGGATAGTTTTTTATAAATACAAATACCATTGAAGTTCTAATTGACGAAAAGCTTCTTTAGACATTTATTTCAAGAAAACCATTTGACTACCATTCTATAAAAACATGTTTATGATGAAATGGAACTTCAAAACTAACAGCCCTACATAGTACATATAAGGAACGTTTTAGGGTTTTAAACTTTTCATAATGGGGATTCACCATTAGACTTTAGATATTGGAGTTGGGCACTACCTTTTTTGGTTATGTTTTCTGTTTGCACAAGAAACCAAACCTGAAACATGGTAATAATGTCTTTTAAAAGTTAAAACCAAACCCAACATCAGGAAGAATTAAGCACATTTATCTTTCAGTTATATACAACTTTAATGTATAAGTTTGATTATTACATGAAAATGACATATATTGAGAATTGGAATTATTAATAACAAAACAACCATACACACATAAACATGCACCATATTTATCATACACACAGTAACAATTTAAAACTAAATAAATGACAACATTTGATAAGGAAATCAAAATCCGTACTTAACATAAAACGAAAGAAAACAGAATTTCTGAAACCAACAACGAAAATATTCTGGACAAACCATAAAACCTCAAAATTATTGTTGGACTGGAATGTTAAATAAAAAACGACAAACGGAAAATTGTTTGAAACGTTAATAAGATCTCACTTCTCGACTTTAGGAATCAATAGTTGTGTTGACACAACACTTTCCTTGATTCCAATGGATTTTTTTGAAGGTTTTGTTGATGACTCACAAACAGTATCTTCAAGATCGTAAACATCTACAAGTTTACGTTTCGCATTGGTAGTTGGTGAAAGGAGGCTAGTGGTGTCATGGTTGGTTGATGGACTCATTGAAATGGTATTTGGAAAAGTAGAGATAGGAGTATTATCAGCAACGACGGAAGCAGAACCCTTAAATGCAAGAATTAATATATGTTAAAGATTGACATAGGAGTAATGAAAAACATCGAAAAGAAAAAAAAACAGGAAATTATACCTTAAACCCAATTGTATCCTGAGAGTTGAAATCTGAGACCACGACATTAACAGACTCAGTTTCAATGTCCTATATAACAGTTTGTAAATTGTATATTAGATTGGTAAATATCAGCTATACAAAACGTAATATGTAAATGGATTAAGATTTAGTTGTAGTTAAACCTGTTCAACGTGGTTTGCCTTTTCAAGCTTCTCGAGCGCAAAAATTATGTCAGCATTATCACTCATCTTTGATATGTTGTAACTAAGGATGTATTTTCTTCCATAGGTAAAGCCTTTAACTATAATTTTGAAAGCCATTTTTCTACCAATAAGTTCATTAATCTCAACAGGAAAACCAACACTCTTACCCATCTAAAAAAATGTAAATTAAACCGGTGTTAGAATGAAATTATAGAAATGATTAGAATAAATTATGGATTTTATAATATATACCTTTTCATACTAGTCTATCAAATCTGATGCAAAAATGTTTAGAATACTTCTAACATCCCGGTCAAATAGAGTAAGTGTCACTACTCCCACCAAGCCTTGTACTCGAATTTTGAGCATAAAACTAAGGTATTTAACAAACAAATAAAAGAATGCAAATTAGATAAATACAATAATGAAAGAATATTAAATTTCTTATGATACATTGGTTCAGCAACTATGACTTGTCCTTTGCACTTGGCATGTGTGCATACCCATGATTCATTCTCAGCCAAATGGTCCAAAACATTGGATTGTTCAAGGGGCATTTTTTGAACCTTTCTCTTACCGTTCTTGCAAGTTGGGTAGTACCATTGCTGACTATCTTCAAACATCTTAATTGTGCCAAGAATGATGGCATAACTCCCCCATGAAGAAGCTGATCCACTTTCATTTTCATTCCACCTGTTTACAAATAAAGTGTAAGTATAATATCAATAAAAACTATATTTAGTTTAATAGTAATATATAAAGGACTTGATTGAAATATAATCAAACTTTTTTTTGAAATCAATAATTTCTTCAACTTGCTCATTAATGAATAGCTTTGTTGCTAAATATGTATTATTCACACTAGTTGTGAGACCCGTAAATTATACGGGTCGATTAAAACAAAATGTTAAACAGGAACGATTAAATGAGAAGTTTATTTTAATTTGAAATTTGAAATAACTGAAAATTATGAGAAAAAAATGCAAAAATAAATAAATTAAAATTATGTGTTTAGTTATCAGATCCATGTACTAAACGGGTAAATTATAACAAAATGTTAAACACAAAGGTTTAAACTGTAAATTTATTTGAAATTGAAATTTAAATTTAAAATTTGAAATTTAAAATAATAGTCATTATGGTAAGTTTAATTTATAAAAACTAAACTAATGATATATTAAAAATGAAAGATGAAGTAAATTAATGACAAGTGGAAAATAAATATATCTCAAAATTATGACGAAATGACATGTGGCCAATTAAATAAGAGAATGACATGTGACAAAATTATTCTTATTTATTAGGGTAGATATGCACGCCCCTGAAAAGAAAACGAAAAAATGTTGGATTAAATTATTTCTTATATAAATATTGAAAATGGTAAGGATAAACATTGTATTAATAAAAGGACCTCTGTGATTCTTCCACTCAGAACATTGAATAATCATAACAAAATTCCCCCGGTGTTTGGATACATAGGAATCAATTTGTTCAGCGTAATCTCCCCACAAAGTAGCAAACACTTGTCGTCCCCTAAATGAATATGAATTAAAACAAAAATTTTAAAACTAATAATACACAAGTCATAAAAGAAACATACTCTAAATCTTCCAATTTCAATGTAATCCTTTTATCTAGTTTTTGGGTTGCAGGTTCCAGTGGATAGCATTGAAAAACATTACCGATGACATCTATAATATACACGATGGAAGATGTTAGTATATAATTAGTGTTAGGATGGACAAATTATATATACAAATATTATAAGATGTAAAATGTGAAATCAACGTTATGAACTTACCAAAAGAAATAGTTGAAGGGATAGCTTTATCGATAAGATCTTGGAAGTTTGCAAAAGTGAATGAATTCTTGGGCCCATTAAAACCAATGCACTTGGTTACTCTAGTGGTATATTGGAAAACAATTTGTTTTGAGTGTCAACGAACTTCATAACTGTTGAATCATAAAAAGTGACCCTCTTGAACTTCAGCTACCACAGCCGTCAAGCACCCGCAGTCAAGCACCTTCATCAGCAACCGCATCCGGAGTCTCTACCTACCGCAGTCTCTTTACTAGATTACTTTACTTGTCTTTTATTGTAATACTCTCTATTGTCCAGTATGCCTTGCATGGCTACTGTTAGAGATGTAATCTAGTGTACTTCGTGAGTCTCTATAAATAGAGCTCATTCTCTTGTATTCTATATGTATCTATCTATTCTGAATACACATTTCTGAAGTTATCTTTTTTATCTCTCTATTTCAATACGCATCCCTTCTTACTCTCAAATCTCACTAGAATACAACTGATTATAACCTCTCTTCGGAGCAAGTCTTTTGTGACTTAATCACTAAGTTTGATCTTCCTTATTAACTTGGTTTGAATGCATTCCTTGTTATGAATCAACTTATGTGTATACTTGATATAACAATTGTTGTCATTTCTATTTCTTTACTTTTCCGCAACTAACTCTCTAACTATCTAACTCTAACTTATTAATATTATTGTTGAGCTTTTAGATCCTTCGAGATTAACTATTCCGCAATATACTTGTTCTAACGTTTGTTCAAGTGTGTCTCTAAGTTTTTCTCTCAACAATAACATCATCAACATATAAACCAAGTGTTGGCTTATGAATGTAAACATCAGCATATTCTTCAAGTGTTTGCCCCAGTATCACATATGATTTGTCCACAGTGCATTCAATTTTATTGCCCTTCAAAAAACGATTAAATAGATAACTAATAAACAACTACATGTTTAAAATTAGTTAAAATTAGTTTTCTGAGCAGGGGCAAAACAGTCATATATAGATTTTTCCCTTAAATGACTTGTAAAAAATAAAAAAATAAAAAAAATAATCCTATCAGTAGGATGCTAAGAGTAAATAAGTAATAAACAACTATATGATTAACATGAATAATGTATATAACTAAATATATGATAATATGAAATCATTAAATAAATTAAAAGCAATTCAATTTAAATACCTCTTCATCCATTAAAATCATTCTGATTTGTCGTGTCTCATGAGGTTTCGACCAAGTTGTTTGTTTCCAAAGCCTGATTATTCGGACCTTAATTGTGTAGTTGTCATTTGAGAGACCTAGATCATTAATCATTGTGATTTCGGTTGGATCCATGAGCTGTAAAAGAAATATAAAAACTTTGATTATTACATTGACAAAATTGAGAATGATAAGCAAATCAGAATTGATAATAATAATTAAAAAATGTTAATTATACATTATAAAATGTATTTCAAATAGGAAATAAAATGTAGGTATTCACCTCCATGAAAAGGAAAAATAATAAAACAAAATAAATTGCACGCCACATCAATGGAAACAAAGGTACACTTGTTACACAAATGTTTATAATTTTTTCTTAAAAAAAAACAGCAACATAATCTAATAAGTTATGTATGTGTGTTTCTTTTTGATGTAATGCAAAAACCGACGACTTAATAGAGAAACTCGGAAAAAAAAAATTATTTCCCATTAAGTCCTTAACTTTTTACTAACATTATATTTTATTAAGGAAAACATAATATGAAAAAAAAAGAAACACGACTTAGGGCTTAACTTCTTAAAGTTGAAATTAGTTTTCTGACCAGGGGTAAAACAGTCATATAGAATTTTTTTTCCCTTAAACGACTTAATAGAGAAAATGTGTTTATTAAGATATTCTTTATGCATTAAGTCATATATCAAAAATGTGTTTCTATATCTAAAAGCCATTCAAAAGGAAATGTACCAAAATTCCCTGTTCTCGAGTTTTTTAGCTGGTGCAAACCAGTAATTCTGCTACACATAAAAATGCAAGTTTTCAAAAAAATTCCTAAAATACCCCTGGGTTAAAATTGTCCCAGTTTCTTTGGATTATCCAATAGGTATTGCAGAAAGGGTTTATGTCATTTTTGGTCACTTAACTTTTGGTTTTGTGTTCATTTGGTCATTTAACTCTTTTTAAGTTTTGAAAGGTCATCAAACTTTTTGCTTTGTGTTCATTTAGTCATTTAATTTTTGGTTTAGTCACATTTAGTCACCTAACTTTTAAAATTGTGCTCATTTAGTCACTAAACTTTTAAATTTTTTCAAAAGTTTAGTGACTGAATGAGCACAATTTTAAAAGTTAGGTGACTAAATGATCACAAATCTAAAAGTTAAGTGACCAAACCAAAAGTTAAGTGACTAAATGAGCACAAAGTCAAAAGTTTGATGATCTTTTAAAACTTAAAAAGAGTTAAGTGACCAAATGAACACAAAACCAAAAGTTAAGTGACCAAAAATGACCTAAACCCTTGCAGAAAATACAACTTCTTTTTGATTTTGAAGTTTGATTAGTATCTTGGTATCTCGTATAAATTCCAGTTGAATGGGCTTATGTCTGAAACAATGATGTCATGCGAAAACAGTTTAAAAGTATGTTTGATTCAATAACTTACACAATAATCCAAATACCCCTCACAAAGGAATGCGCCCCATAGCAACCCGCATACAACAACGACAAGTAACACCATTTCACATGACATTCATTCAGACATAAAAATCACTCAATCAGATCACAAAATTGTAGGTTTATGTGGAAAATTTAGGAAGTAGGATGTATAAAGATGATCGGATTTAGCATTAAGTACACACATCGCAGCAAGTCTATAAATAGAAATATAGAATCTGATCATCTTTCAGGGGAAAAATTGTCCAAATCCATATTAATTATTAAGCAATGAAAGCAACACAGAAGATACTTTTTCCACTCATAATTTTTTTTTATATCTTATCAATAGTAAGCGAGTGTGGCTCTTTCACACAGTAACATACTAAAACACACTTACACAACATTCATAAGATGATATGGGAATAAAGCCCCTGCACTAACACCGAAATCAGATGTTCCATGACTAACTGATAATTTCAAGTACCATGCGATTTAAAATATCATGCAATCAATTAAGGGTCGACTAAAGAAAGACAAGTGTGTCGACAAAATTTCAAAACTATCCTTAAAGGAAACATCAATTTTTTCAATCATATTAAGTACTTCATAAGACGAGAGAACATAATGCAGATGAATTAACAGAGAGGAATCGACGTTTGCACAACGTAGATGAAAAAATGAAACGTAATAACAGAACTAACCTTCTTTAGTTGCTGCTGTAGGAGAGGAAAAATTACTTGATCTCAAAAAACGGCAAAGTAATCACGATACTATGAGGGAAAATGGATTAAATAACAAAACCTATACATATCTTTGGATTTGATTACCGTATATGAGAAAAGTTTATGAGATTTCAAAATTTTCATATTTTTGGAAATCAATTATGAATGAATTTGAAATTGGTGCGTGATTTGCTGCATTAACCAAATTTGTAGCCGGCATTACTCTAATTGATTTAATATTATTTTAATATTGATTTTGCATAAACAGTTTAATGAGCTGTCAAATAAAATCTGTTGGAACACATAACAAAAATACATGTGGAAAATAAATTAAAGCAAAAATGCTTAGAAAATGTCATGTGTCTAATGCAAGGAGAATATGACATGTAACAAAAATATATGCTATCTGTTCTTGTAGTTACCACAAAACGTATTTCACTTTGTGATTCTATTTGGTGCAAAAGTAGAAGACGATGCCTAATCCACTAATTGATTTCGCTGTTCTCTAGAAATTTGGTTAGGGTTTAGTAACTCATATATTGTTTTATCTGTTTTGATTCGGTTCATCTTTATATTCTATTTGATTAGGGGTTATTGTTAATAACCAAACAGTGGTCGGAGGGGAAAGAATCATCAGGGGAGGTAGGAGGTAACCAGAACAAAGCGACTTCAAACTGTTACGCCTTCATGCTAACTGAAATATGGAAGTTTCTTGCCAATTTGAAGAAAGAAAGGTATCTGTTTGCCTTTCACAATTTCATTTTTTTTCAACGTAGGGTTTCGTTTTTTCATTTTTATATTTTTCATAACATTCTTGTTTGGTTACAAATATTTTGATTTGGAAGTAGCTTCAATTGACAGCAGGCTTCTTCTAATCCTCGTGACTGATTTGAAGTTGTATTTAATGGGCTGGTAATGGTTTATTCCTACCCTCTGTCTGGGACAACTGACATTTCTGGCTACCGTTCTTAGTAATAGGTGAGCAAAAAAAACTATTCTAATTCTATTTCATATTTAGTATAAGTTAAAAGAATAATCTTTATTGGTTAATGTTGTTTTAACAAGTTTTTGTTTCCCAAAGATTCAATAGAATATTAGATTTCCTCTAAAGGAGAAGGTCAATATTTGATTTTTTATGTTATTGTTCTTAAGAATCGTATGTAAAACTAATATGATGTTTTCAAACTGCTATTTAGAGATATTTTTGCAAAATATACTTTTTAAGGAAATAATATATAAAATAAACTTTATTTGACCCTAACAGGTGATTTACCGGTTTGATGTCCATTGCTGACATTTATTTTTCTCTTTTTTCATGTTGATTGATCTTGATGACCTTTGAAGGTTGGAAACATGAAACGTTAGTAAGTTCCATCATCAATGAATCAGATGAAAGAAGCCTGAAGATGATTTTGAACCAACCCTCTTGCCCCAAATCCCTAATTTTCCATGTACAGGTAAACATATATTGCTCACACATACAAATTTTATGAGATCTTCTTGAAGTTAATTTTATTGTTGCTCTTAATTTTTTATTTTTGTAGATAAATTTACTTATGGAGTAACAAAACATGAACTAGAGTTTAATGGAAACAATTACAAGCACTTTTGGTTTTTCAATCTGGAAATCACATTGAAACACTAAGTTGCACGGAAACGGATACGGGAAACGGCAAAACTCAAAAATTCAAGATACGGATACGGCACAGATACGGCAATATAAAAATAGGAAAAAACATATATATATGAAAAAAATTCCAAAATATGTAAAGTTTAAACTCCAAAAATACTAAATATTTTAAAAGTAACTAATTATCAATAATCAAATCATTTTCAAAGTCAGGTTCATCTAGCGAGAGATCTGCAAACTCCAAAAACCCGACGTCTTCCATTGAATCAAAAGCATCTCCACCCACATCCCACATCTTTACATCATCTTTCGGAGTCCTTGACAAAAGTCGGAGATTATTGTGGATGTAAACCAAGTCTTGAGCACGACTTGTAGTCAACTTGTTCCTTTTAAGCGAGTGAATAAATGCATAAGTACTCCAATGAACTAGGTTGTCCAAGTAATCTAAAAGCCAAAGTCTGGAGAAAAGGAGTTTAAGCACCAAAGTTAACCCACCAATTCTTGGGTTCCATAGTAGCCATCTTTGAAATGCTTGTTAAATCTTCAAAATGACCACTCTTCATTGAAAACATCGCATACTCATCGACTCTGCCATACTCATCACCATTAGGAAACAACCTTCGAAAACATTTCATCCTTTCTTGTGAAATTTCTCCATCCCTATGTGGAGCGCATCTTGTAGAATCCTCCATTAACCATGCATCACTATAATATCTACAAACATCCAAAAGTTAAAACATAAATATATAATACAAATCAAGTGTATAATTTAAAATCTTATACCTTGGATGTAAAGAGTGAGCTAAACAATGTAGGGGAGTGTTATTCTTCGCCCATCGAGCCACTAAAATATGATGCACAACGTCGTAAAAACAACTTATTTGAGATGTCGGACGTTTTTCTTTCTTGTAGATCTCAATCTTCACTTTCTCAATCATAGAATCCCACATCTCATAGACCAAGTGTAAACATGGCTTGTCAGTGTCACAAGCTCTAATCATCTCATATATAGGTCCAGTGAAACTAAGAATATATGTTACTTTATCCCACCAATCATCATTCAAAATATATTCTTTCACAGCGTTTGCTTTCTCAGTGTCATCTAATCTATAAGAAGACCATTCTTCGCTTATGACCATATCTTGAAGACCCCTTTTGATAAGTTTCAATCTCTGAAGCATCACAATGATGGAGGCAAAGCGAGTGTCAGCAACAGAAAGCAGCCTAAGAGGAGTAAACTTGGTGAAAATCGAGAGCCTCATGTTATGGTTCATGATGAAATTTTTTATTGCAAACGCCTCTTCGTGAACTTCTTTTATCCAGCGACACTGTTTATATGTTAGTTCATTTGTTTCCACATTCCTTGGTGAACAAATATTCTTCAAAGCAAGATTAAGCGTATGAACAACACATGGTGTCCAATAAATGTGAGGAAACTGACTCTCTATAATCTCTCCATCCGCCTTACAATTTGCTGTATTGTCAGTAATTATTTGCACAACATTTTCATGACCAATTTCATTGATGACTTCCTTCATCAATTCGGCAATAAAAAATCTATCTTTCACTTCCCCAAAACAATTCACTGCCTTTAGAAACAAAGGACCATTACCTGAGGTACCCATGAAGTTGATTAGAGGTTTTCTTGTAGGATCACTCCAGCCATCACTCACAATAGTCACACCTTTTTCTTTCCATGTAGACCTAAGTGGCTCCAATAGCTTGTGAACATTATCTTTTTCTTTTTGTAGTAATGTTGTTCTTAGCTTATTATAACCAGGAGGTACATAACCATCAATTTTGTTGTTAGCAGCAAACTGAAAAGCCCTGACATAGTGTGGATTTCTTGCAAGATTAAAAGGTAAACCTCCGGTATAAAACATTCTAGCTATTTCTTGATCCAGTTGGTCCCTAATTTCAACACCAAAAGCTCTTTCAATAGGTGTTGAAATACCTTTTCTTTTCTTAAATCCAACACCAGCTTCACATGGCAACTGGACTTCTTTCGCTTGTGACTCGGTTTTCTTCTTTTCATATGCATCTTCTAATTGTGTCATGTTAAGTTTGTCAGCTGTTGTTGCTTTCTTGCAAATAGAAATCCCGGTACCTATATTAAACAACATAATAACATTGACATTCTCAATTACACAACATGAAAAAAATAAGGTCATCATTGACATTATAAATTCAATTACATTACATTAATCAAAACAAGAAAGTGAATCAAAAACCTCTTATTTATTTGACTTTACCATTGTTCATGAATAAATAGTTCTATTGAATAACATGAATCAAAAGTGCAACAAATACATGAATCAAAACAAAAATCGCAGCCTCTTATTAGTTATTTCATTACAATTGTTAATGAATCAATAGTTCAATACTTCAATACAATAACATGAATAAAAAATTACAACAAATACATGAATGATGAATCAAAACAAAAATCGCAGCCTCTAATTTTTTTCTTTACAATTTTTCATGAATCAATACAATAAGTCAATAACATAAATCAAAAATCGAAAATTACATAGACACACACACTAATTTGAATAATAGATTACCTTTTATGCCAAGCAAATGTGCTCTAACTCTAGAATATGATCCTTGTCGGGTTTCACTGCAAAGGTTACACTTCAACTTCCAACATCCTCCTGCTCCAGCAAGTTTATCGAGTTTAGTCACAAAGTCCCACAATTGAGGTTGGTCTACTGATGTAGATGATCCTTGTGTTTCTTGTTCTTGAGAAGAAGCCATAATAATCGAATTGGTGAGTGGTGAATGTGTGAATGAGTTTTGAATTTTTTTTCTTGTTCTTGTCTTCTTGATCGACGACACAGAGAGGTAATAAAAAAAACTATAAAAGTCGATGATCACCAATGAAAAGAGTACGCAGCAGCCTTACGTTTACAAACTTCTAAATTCTAATAGACTAATTGACTAATTGTAGGGTAATAGCATTAGCAACCGACATAGGACTAAGCCCATTACTCTATTTCTGCGTATTAAAAGCCCATGCAAATAAAAATAAATAAATAAAGGGAAACGTGAATGAAACGTGCGAGAAACGTTTCAGGGATTACCGATACTTGCCGGAAACGTTTCCCGGCCGTTACACCGGCGTTTCCGTTTCCTAGGCGTTTCAGATACGGGAGCGACGACTCATATGGCGTTTCCATGCATCATAGTTGAAACATGTCTTTTAAATTTAGGCTTCTTTCTCTATGCTAATGTGTTGGTTTGGGGAGAGAGATAATTGGGGGTTTGAGTAATTTGATCCATGGTTCTAATGACCATAGAAAAATATTTTATATCATAATTAGAAGCTAAACATAGTTTATTTCATCCGAATCAGTGCACCTAAGTTAAATTAACATTCTTTCAATTAAGAAACCTAACAACTAAAATTTGGATTTCAATTACTTGTTACTCTTAAGTAGTTAATATTATGTTAGGTTTTGTTGAAAATCAAATTTTAATTGTTAGGTTTCTTAATTGAAAGAATGTTAATTTAACTTGGGTGCACGGTGCAAGAGATTTGGATAAAAAAAATGATGAGATCGATGTCTACGTCGATAAGCAGCTTTCCCACCAACCACTTATAGTGATGGATTTTGAGTCAATGCAGTTGCTTTCCCCCTTACGCCTCGGACATCTGATGGTAGGCTGCATGCTGTCATGGTCAACCTCATCATCCTTTCCTCAGCATGACATAACACTGGGGTTCCAAAAACAAATGGTATGTCGTACCTCTTGAATTTGTTATATTACCTTTTCTTAATCTTTTTCACAACTTTTTATAGCTATTTTACCATGAATTTTGCTAATATTTTTATCTATCAAATTTTTTAGTTCAGGTGTAATTTGTTGTCAAATTTTCCGAGAAAGGAAGGGAACTGATGGTGATACAAGTATTCGGGAAGCACAAATTTTGTTACTTTATAAGCCAGGGTATCTACTAAGCTGTACAGCCTGAATCTTTGCAAGTTATGTTGGAAGGTGAATGCTCTTTATTATTATTATTATTATTATTATTATTATTATTATTTGTTCTATTATAATACCTCAACATCTGAAATAGCAAATAAATAAAAGGCTAATACATTTTCATTTTCACTGTAACTTGTTTGTAATGACGGTTGTTCAAATAGAGATATTACCCGCTAGCAAAGTCTGGAATATTTTCCATATAACCTGGACTCACAGTCAAGTTTTCCGGACAATTTACCATAGAAGGTTCACAAGTCAATGATTTAAAAGCATGGACAAACTTGGAATTCTTCCTCAAGTAAATCAATTATTTCCCTTCATGTTGCATGGATGTTTAATGTTTATATAGTGTTTTCCCTTTCAAGAGAAGAACATCTATGAATTCTTTTCTTTTTTATTTTTTATTTTTTTTATTTTTGACCCTATAAATATTTTATATGTTAATATTGCCCAGTTTTTCTGAAGAAAAAAAAACCAACAATTTGGCTAAATGGAAATGAGACATTGTTGCACTCGGTGTCATGAAAAAAGAGATCATAACGATAGAACTCAAACTACCAAAATGTTGTCATGAAGAAGCTCGATTTTAAATCGGATGGATTATTAGTAGGAAAATATATTGGGGAAGATTTAACTATGCAACACAGATATCAATAAAGAAGATAAACATTAAATAAATACCATTACCAACACAAAAATGTAATAGAACTTCTATAAATTATTTTCAGTTTTTGTATATTTCATTTTTTTTCTTATTAAAGCGTTGTATTTTAGAAGCACGTTGTTATAGTTACATATTGCTTTCCAAATTGTACTTTGTCTTGTCTTTTACATTGTAGCAAATTAATTATATTATCCATTTTTTTGGTATTTTGAAGTTGAATCTGCTAAAAACATGAAAAGTAGGCTTCTAACAAAATCTAATTCATTTGAAACCCTTGAAAATTAGACATTGCAAAACTTTTTTTAGATTCCAAAATTACCCTCCGTGGGCCGTGCTCAGCACGGACCTCTAAAATTCACTAGTATATATATATATATATATATATATATATATATATATATATATATATATATATATGTCAAAAATCAACCAAATTGCATGAGACTATGGTGTTAGAGATGGCAAAAATCAACTCAACCTACCAACCCAACCCAAAATTAGCAGGTTGGGTTGAGATTTTTAACCCATTTAGGATAAATGGGTCAACCTGTCTAACTCATTTAATTAAATAGGTTGTGTTGGATATATATTGCCAACCCATTTTCAACCTACCAATCTATTCAAATTCAATATATATTTAGTTTAATAATTATTTAAATATTACCATGTATTAGTCTAAGTATTAATTTATAAATTACAATGTTATATTATTATTTATGTTTTAAAAAATACAATTTTAATTCCTATCTTTTTTCTTTGCACCGACGACACAAGTCACTCTACAAAATCATTCCAAAATTACATATCTTTAATGTTATTCGAACAATTTATTTGTATTTATGAATTGGGATTGTGCTTTTATTATATTTTGAAAATTTCTTTAAGTTTTGACTAATTTATGTGGTGTAAACTTTAGTTAATTTATTTATTTTTTTTATTTTAAATGGGTTAACCCAGGTTTAACCCATTTGTTTAATAGGTTAGGTTGGGAATTACATAAACGAATCAACCCGGTGACAACTCATTTATCTGAAAGGTTGGGTTGGGTTGGAAATATCTACCCATTTAAATAAAAAAGGTTCGGTTGGGTTAAAATATTCAACCCAATTAATAAATGGGTTGAACCCGAGCCAACACAGGTCGACCCATTGCCAGCTCTATGTGGTGTTGTGATTGAAGTGATTAACAAAATTAGAACAATGTTGCACAAGTGGTTTACAAGGAAAGCCCTTGATCCTTGATAGGATCTCCGACATAAAACTTTGGGAGGTGATAATAATCACCTGTTTTGATTGTTTTTATTTATTTAGATGAAATTTACAGAAAATTGATGAAGATATGAATACAAGTGTTTCAGTTGCTTAAGGTATCTAAGGTGTATGGAGATAGTGCCCGTTGTGTCTTTTACAAGTGTATTTATAGTCTAGGTTAAGTAACTATAAGTGTGATATTCCCGGGATCCTGATGAACTGGTATTTGCAACGTGCTTTGTTTTGGTATTCTTGGGTTTTAAGCCTGGCTGAAACGTTTCTTCGTTGTGCATGAGTCTTATGTTGACCATTTTTGTACATGTGAGAAATAAACAATAAATATAGCCGTTAAACTTGTTAGGAAATAATAATGGCGATGTTCAGGATCCCGATGTATGTTTGGGATCCTAATAATCCTTTAAGATCCAGGATCCTGGATAGGTTTAAGGGTCCTTAGATATCTTTGAGATCCGAGATTATGGATAGGATTGAGGATCTTGGCCCTCACAATTGCCCCCAAATTATACCTGTAAAATATTTAAATTAATTTCAAGCATTTAAAGTGTATAATTTAATTAATTGGAAATAAATTAAAGGATTTGAAATTCAAACTCTAATGGATAGAATTGTATCTGTTCAAAAGGTATGATTATGTTGTCAAATCTCTTTTATATCATCTGTGATCCGCATAAATAGGGGTTAATGGTTATTGATCTTCTATTACTTCTTTTAGCTCTCTTTCAAACATTATCAGTGTTTTGGTCAAAAATCGACTAAAGGGATATTAACCAAAGTGTATGAGAGAATGTGGTGTTGTTAGTGAAGTAATTAACGAATTTAGAACAAGATTACACAAGCGGTTTACAAGGAAATCCCTTGATCATTGATAGGATCTCCGGCATAAAACCTTGGGAGGTGACAATGATCACCCGCCTTGATGATATTATTGATTGAAGTGAATAATTACAGAGAAGATATAATGAGTACGAGTACAAGTGCTGGTATTCTACCAAAAATCATGTGTAGTGTGATGAATACAAGAATTCCAAAAATTATGGGATCCTCGGAGATCAACTTATAGTCGTTGCTTGACTTGGTCCTCCGGGTCTTTTGCATGGTTGTGACGACTATTCATTAAGAGTGTGGCTTTGATTGATTATTTATGCACATGTGAGAAAGACAAAAGGAACTCACTAACCTTCGTGCTTACGGTTTTCAGTTTTGGTTTCAGGTACTTTCGGTAGCGGAGGGAAGAGCTCGGGATGATCGCATTGCACACACCAAGAAGTTTAGCCTGGGATGTTTACTCTGATGAAATGAACAAGTGTTTTGAAAAGATACTCTGATTTGTTATATAACTCTTTTAGTATGTTTGAAATGATTTAATACTATGGTTTAGTTATGACTTAAAAAAATGAAATTTTCGGACCGTATTTTTGGGATGTTACGAGTTGGTATCAGAGCCTTGGTTTGAGGGATTCGGACATACTTTCGGGTGTGTCTGAACTCAAACTAAGGAATTGGTATAGAAATTTTCAAAAGGAAAATCATTTTTATAAAAGGGGTTTTGAGAAGAGAAAAGAGTTTTAGAAAAAGCAAAAAGAAATTAGAAAGAAAAGAACTTTGAAAGGAGAAAAAAAGGGTGTGGTGCGTGCAATCAGCCGAGCTCAAGTAAGTACCCCAAAATACCCACACAAGTTTATGTTATGTTTATCAGTTAGTAGAACAGCATGCTAGATTAGGGCTAAGGATCTAGGAAGGATGCCTTATTTGTCTGTTATATGTGCTTTTGAGCTGCATGATAGTACTGGTTAGACAGTAGTAGGATAACATGTTTAGGTTATGCCTGAGTA